TAGTAACTGCGAACCCAAAGTCTGAAATTGTACTCCATAAATGTGTTTGATGGGGGTGTGACTACTCCGCGGCGTAGTCACACAAATGGTGAACACAATACACGAGTGAAACGAATGAAACGGTAAGCAACAAACAACGACTGAAGCTCCCAGATGTTAATATGGGGGAATGACTGCCAATAATCAGGAGCAGTATAGATCGCAGGGGGCGGTAAACTAGCTAAGCCTAACCACAAATTGCAAAAAAAAGGAGAGAGCGGATGAATGCGCAATGCGAGCATGTGGGAGGAAATGAATTTGGGGGCGAGACTCTCATCTGACGCAACACAAGGGCTCTTTCGTCGGCCTGATGGCGTGTTTCAGGGCAGACAGAGCTATCCACCAGGGACCTCGATGGCTGCAGAGAAACCTGGCCACCAAAATGATGGCATGTTTCAGGGCAGACAGAGCTATCTACCTGGGATCTCCATGGCTGCAGAGAAACCTGGCCGTCAGAAGGCACCAGACAGTTCCGGGCAGTAGGCAGGGCGTAGATTGCTGCTGCCATCCAGGTCTACGGGATCACCCTACTCCCAATCTAAGTGGAACTGTGGGTAGTCGCGTACTCGCGTCAGCCTAGTCGCTACGGAGCTTGCTGATGAGACGAAAGATGAGTTCTCCAAGGACACAAGATACAACCAAGCATGTATACACTGCGCAAACATGTGAAATGGGGAAATGTGATAAAATTTGCACTGCTGGCTAGGGACACTAATGTGCAAAGCGTGCACATGTGGACTACACAGGTGAGGCTCGATCACAAAAGCTGAACATAGGTTTGCTATCCCTATGCTCAACTCCGGTCCGATGCACCATGTCGCGGATTGGGCCCCCAGCTCCCACCGTCAGTGGTATCTAGGCTCTCCTGCATCGGCGAGGGGAGCCAGGGGTCCCTTCCGTGAAAGGGTGAAACGACTATTGTGGTGGCATACCTGTGTGAACGCTACTAGTGCCTGCCACATGGGAACTCTATACACACGTAGAGGCCCTTGCCACCAGCCTGCTTAGCAGGTTACTCGACACCTGCGACTCAATCTTTTCTCCCAACTATCGACAGTTGGGGCGTGTACTCATAACCGTGGCACTACCATGGATCGTGCCAGCCGTCCTACAGATGTTACCCACTAAGCTAGATTATAAGACACAACATTGATAACACAAATATCCCCGGAGCCACAGCCGAGCTGTGGCTCACCGCTTCAGTACAATTCACACGAGTAAAATGCCCACCATTTATCCACAACTATTCCCTAGACTCAAACACAATGGGGTGGAGCACAACCAGCCAAGATCTTACAACCCTAGGGGCCAGCAGTATCGAAAACCCCCCGAGGCGGTGTCGCCGGCATGTGCCAGGTGCGATCGCGCTCGGGGTTACCTCGTTAGCGCGGGGTGCCAGTCCTGCGTGGCGTAGATGGATGTGACGCGTGAGATGGGATTGGCGCTGTATCGATCGATGGCATTGAGACGAAGATGGAACCCGACCGCTCACGATGGCGACAGCAGCGTAGACTGACTACGTGACTTAAACGAAAGCTGCGCAGGTGAGAGAGGTGAGAGGCGGGACAGCGCGAGGACGGCGTTTCAGGACCCCTTCGCAGCGCGGGGGCGGCCTCCTTTGAAGGAAGTCGCGAATCCGCGACACATGGAATAGGACAAAATAACTTCATGGTACAACATACCCATATTTCATTATGTACGTTGCTTCCACTGCATGCGAATATAGTTCGGTTTTCTTTCTGTACCGGTTCCTTTGTGATTCCGGCGTATACTTTCTCCTTCTGATAAGAGCTGAGCGCAAAAATGGGTTTCCTAGGTAGCTATTGTGGACCTATTAGCCCATTTGCATCAAGTGATACTAGATGTTGGCTCTACGGGCGGTATAGGACTGCCTTTTTGCATTCACTTCTTCCACGGTTATGGTTTCAAACATTTTTTGATTACTTTCTGTATTTTACTTCTATATCGTAAAAGACGGAGGTGATACCGAGAGTAAGCTCCTACGCTAATATTGAAACGGTAATTAAAATTCGCTAATGATCTTGCACAGAACACATCCTTCTATCACAACTTATACTTTCTTGATATTTCCTCCTCTTCAATCTAGTTTGACCCTGCATAAATGATAATATTAGGTGGGTCCGAAAGTTCTGTCGTTTCATTTTCAAAAATTTGTAACTTCGCGAAATTTTAACGGATTTGCTTGTTTGCATTTTTAATAGAAAGAATAATCCTTTCGCTTTCAAACGCTGTTTTAAGGAGCTTCTGTTTCACATTGGGTGCGGAGATAAAAATGAAAAACTAAGACCATATAAAACTTGACCATTTTAAGTTACAGTACCAACACTGCCGCCTTGCAATCCTGCGATATAAACGCGTTGTCGCGCCGAAAATGTCGCATTGCGATAGCTCGCTTAATCCTCAACCAATTGAAGTCTAGCTTAGATATTTGAAACCAGCGCCTTCTGGACGATCTAAGAGTGTTTTCAAAAGTACCAAAATCTCCTTCACAAAGATCTTTTTTTAGGACCATCGGCGGTATAAACGCATTGCCGCGTTGGTATCGCCGCACCGCCATAACTTTCTTCAGCTTGAATCTTACAAATTCTTATTTGGAAATTTGGAATTGGCGTCTCCTAAGCTACCTTAATAAGCTTTTAAATATTTTGAAATCTTGCTTTCAGGCTTTTTTGGCTCATGTGCCCCTTTGCTCTGAGCGATCAAATTCGGCACTACAATTTGGAGCTTTCTTGATTGAAGAAGAATCTTAGCAGGCTTTCGCTCCAGACCATCGAAAGAAATTGAAAGAGTGAAGTTAGCAAATTCAATTTTTAATTTACTGAGAAAAGCGTTCATTCGGATAAGAATAAACTAATTGAAATTTATCCGCTGGTTTCACAGAATCTTGGAGTATCCAATGACTTAGCCCATTCACAAAATCTTAAAGTATCCAGTCAGACAATTTTCCGAAAATGGACAGACTCGCGAAACTCAGACATTTCAAGTTCCAAATTGGGATAAATTCTATCAAGGTGTCAAGGTCTTTGTATCCATCTCATTTTCGAATTATTTCATCAAATTGAAGAGATTTTGAAGAAAAATCGATACGGCGAGGTCATCGTGGCAAAACCCAGAGCCAGGCTGGCTAATTAGGGCACTATGAGGGACCAAAAAAATTTAGAAAAAAAATTTGGGATTTTGCAGACTATTGAAACATCTTCGAGTAGCTTAGAAGTTACTGATTCTAAATAACAAATTTTAAATTTGATACGAAAAACAAGGGGAAAGCTACACCAATCCGGCTTTTCCAACGCGACATGCCGTTTGTATCGCCGTTGATAATTCAAAAAAAGAACCAAGACAAGAGAAAAAGCAAAGTTCGAATGAACTCATGAGTGGGCGAAAAGATGCCGGTTTCAAATATTCAATCGAGATTTTGGTTGAAGGACTTTGAACCAGGTTACACTAGTTCGGCACTTTCAACGCGACATTGCGTTTAGACCGAAGCTGGCATAGAGCCAAAAAAGCCTGAAAGCAAGATTTCAAAATATTTAAAAGCTTATTAAGGTAGCTTAGGAGACGCCAATTCCAAATTTCCAAATAAGAATTTGTAAGATTCAAGCTGAAGAAAGTTATGGCGGTGCGGCGATACCAACGCGGAGATGCGTTTATTTCGCCCAAGGTCCCGAAAAAAGATCTTTGAAAAAGAGATTTGGAAATTTTTGAAAACAGTTTTAGATGGTTCAAAAGGCGCTGGTTCCAGATATTCAAACTAGAATCCGATTGATTGAAGTTTAAGCGAGCTATGGCGATGCGGCACTTACGGCGCGACATTGCGTTTATATCGTAGAATTTCAAGGCGGCAGTGTTGGTACTGTAGGTCACCAAAAATCTGGAATGCTGCGAAAAAATCTGAAATCGTCAGTACATATGTTTTTTAGTCTACTCTTTGCATCTGTGAAAAGTCTGTATTGTTTGGATGTTTCTGTGAGAAGTTATGAATATCGAGCCTACTATGGAAAGCGCCAAAATTAAATAATTTGTCGATTTTTGCAAAAATCATAACTTCTCACAGAGGCGTCCAAACAGCACAAATTCTTCACAGTTGCAAAGAGTACGCAAAAGAACGTATGTACTGATGATTTCAGATTTTTCTGCAGCGTTCCCGATTTTTGGCGACCTAACTTAAAATAAAAAAGCTTATATGGTCTTAGTTTTCCATTTTTTTTCTCCGCACCCAATGTGAAACAGATGCTTAGCAAGACAGCGTTTGGAAGCGAAAGACTTATTCTTTCCAATAAAATTACAGGCAAGCAAATCCGTTGAAACAGCGCAAAGTTACAATTTTTTGAAAATGAAACGACAGAACTTTCGGACCCACTTAATATAATGATTTGGGGGGCACTTCTTGGTAGACGCTGCTTTTGGGGAAGGTAAGCAGTTGTGAAGTTGATACCTGTATCAAGAGCTGCGGTTTTTTAGACATTCAGACACAGAACGTCTTGCCCATCCCCCGAAAAGTCTTGTTAAGGACACTCTGCTTCGACCCTTGGTTTTTTGTAGAAAACCAAATTTTTTTCTTCTCAAATTGATTGGCCAACACCATGTTCATAATCGGCAAAAGTCTGTGCAGAAACGTTCCTTTTCATGAGTAAAAAGTCCGTAGATTTCGAAATTGCTCCTTTTTCCCTTTTAAGATCTCCATCCTTGAAGCTAAGAGGATCGAGTAGATCAGCTTTCCACTCAAATTAGTAAGTATACATTGAATAGCATAATTAGTCCTTTTCAATGATATACGCATCTTGCCACATATCCACCGCTTCTCAAAAAAGTGAGGAGGAAAATGAAAACGCTACGAACTTATGGAACTACTTAATATACTTAAATTATTGTAAGAGTAGAATATACTATATATTGCTTGTTTCGTTCTTTGTTCCATTTGAGTAATTAGAATTTATGGAGTGGAAAATGTGAGACAGTGGACAAGTTGAAAACATCTTTTTATTATTTTTTGGTACAATAATATGAGATTTGTGACACAAGCGAATGCAATAAAATTAGGTTCGTAATGCATTACATTTGTCCTCCTGCCACAAAGGCCTCTCGCTGCTTACACATAGGATGATGTTGTGTTGCAACTGCTGCTTGAGGCGAGAATGCTCCTTCTAGATGGAAGGAATGGAAGTTTGCACAAGCAAGGATGTCGGCGCAAAATTCTGAAACGAAAAAAGCAGTAAACAACGGTCTTTGATAGATCCGTCAAAATTTTGCTCACTTTCGTACTGTTTCTGGTAATGCATATCCATCATCTTCTACTGAGGTTTTATCTTCAAGTTCTTGAGAGGCAAAACCTCTCTGCTCTCTTGTTGCACCTGCAAAAGTGCATTTATTGGAACGTTTGGAGTTATGAGCACTTGTTTACTAACCTCCCACAGTATTGTCTAGTACGAAAGCGATTACTCCCGCAATAAGCATTGGAATGGTCAAAAGCATATTAAAACAATCATCCACAGTTTTCAAACCTAGATTAACGGTGCTATTATGAATGTACAACATCAAAAAATAAAACTGCTTATAATCACTTTCTTCGGGCTACCTGTGTTAACCCTGTTATGCTCAAAGTGGAATGGTATTATTCCTCCCATCAGAATGGCGGTGCCCATAATCGAGAGATTGCGCGTTAGCCGCAGGTCAACGTTCTCAATTGTGTAGATCTTACTTTGTCTACTTACCTATGATGCATCCCTCTTCGTACATTCTACTCACCTGTAAATTACTGATTGCCACGCCGGTTATCATGGCTACTCCCATTGCGAAGACTCCACCGACAACCGCATCTGGTATAGAGGCTAGCGCGGCAGCACATTTAGGGAAAAGACCTGTCAGCAGGAGGAGCATACCCGCCACTTGCATAGTAGAGCGGCTCACTACCTGAAAGGGTAATAGATGATGCTAATGGAAAATATCTATGCTTCGTATCAGAGCGCCAGATTTACATACACTATCATCATTTCTTTTTGCTTTGATAAGTGCTCTCAGAGCGGGATAACTGGAAAGTTTTCATATAAAATATAAAAGAAAAATTTTTTGACTTTTCCAACCAAGTGCTGAGCAACTCTCACAACCACTACTATAGTCTCTATAGTTGACCATTTCGCTAAAAATCCATTCTCTGAATGCACATAATGTCATCGTTTATTGAATAGGAGGAAAAAGATTACTTTTATGTTATAAAGACTTAATTTTTCGCTAAGTGTTGCGAGCTGCGTTCCTTCATGTTGCGAGATTGCAATGACCTGGCCGTCTACCGCGTGTCGAGAAAAAAATTTACAAGGTATGAGATTCTCAACCTGTGCCTAGGTTCATTTCTATAATGTAAATAAAGCAGTTTGATTTGCGAATTGATTTAATCGTTTTCAAAAAAATTGTACAAGATTTGTAAAGCAGTTTTTTACTCTCCATAGTGTCACAAAAACATATTATTTGCCTCATTCCAGTCATTCGCTGTGAATACAGTAAGAACATAATTAGCTTTGGAGATGTTTCAACAAATCTGTTTAACAGTTTGATAACATGCTAATTTTTGTTAACATGTGGCAGTCGATTGACTTCTCCTGGCAGAGTTTCCCCGAATCATATTTGATATGGCGAAAAAGATGGGATGGTCTTTTTACAGGAAAAGGTCCGAATAGCGGAAAAGTGCTAAAAAAAACTGCACAATTGGAGTTCACTCTTTATCGAGAGGTTCCATATTTTGCGTGCAATTATTTCTCATCGAGCACCATCAGAATTCCTTGCGATATAAATTATAAATTAGATTGAAATCTGAATTAAGCGGGTACGCAGAGCTTTGGTTTGACTGTCATCATACGCTTACCAAAAAAATGATCAAAATATCCAAAAGTTAGGCAGATTTATGAAAATGCATAAATGCATTTGGTAACACCATTAATATTAGGTTGTCTCGAAAGTTTTGTCGGTTTCTTTCATCGATCACTGAAACTCACAAAACACCGAACCATGGGCAAGCTAGGTATCATTTGATTCAGATTTTTATCCACTTTCATACAGCTATATTTTCTCTCCGTTCTACTCTGTCTTTGCAATGTTATCGCCATGGTTTTTTGAGCAGCTCAGCAGTAACGCCAAATCTTTCCTGAATTTTAAAATTCTTTATCCTGATGTTTTTAAAGAACGCTGGTAACTGTTATCTAGAGCAAACCTTTGGCTACATTGTGTTTATTCTAAATTACATGGGCCACGTTTACCAAGTCCGTGGAAATTGATTATTCAGTAAAAACCGCGACTTTTTGATTACGTTTAACACGTAAAAGTACCGAAAATTTCAAAAAACTGCTTTTTCAAAACAAATCAAACTTGGTCATGTTGATCAAATAATATTTAATAAGAATCAGTTTTCAACTCGCAGAAACTTTGAAAACTTCTGTGTATTTGCTGCAGTTGCGTGTTTCATGACTGTGCCAAAAATCGAGACCTCTCAAAAAATAATTTTTTTTCAAGAAAAACAACAGATTAGGAGAATCTAAGAACATAACCTTGTGGTCCGAGAGTTGCTCTATTAGAATCATGCTTAATCATTTTAGAAACTTCAGAATGAAGTTTTTGAAAATCAGCCGAACTTTGAGCAGATAAAATTGGCGGATGGAGAATTTTAACAAATATCGAAAAAAACACACAACATTGTGGCTCGAGAATGTATCCATAAGAAAAGGAGAAAAAGCTGCACCGAATGCATGTTGAAACTCATTCAGATGTTTATTGTGCATGGTTTTATAGTGGTTTGAAAAAACCGATAAAACTTTCGGGAAAACCTAATAATTCAGCGATCATCAAATTTGTGTTACATGCTTCTAAAAAGGAAAGTTAAAAATTATTCGAAACAGTTTTCAGCTGCTGTTTTTATAAGTAGACACCCACAATGATTAGGTGATCTGCAATGCTCAAACATCTAGAGCGGGTGTAGTTCTGCGATGTTTTTTACGTTCAAAAAGAAAATATGTATAAAAACAACTTTTTCGAGCTCGATTAGTATTACGTGTTGGCAAAGAATTGTTGTTTTTTTTTATTTTAATGCTTGGTAGTTGTTATTATAAATGTCAGAAATTCGGAGACAAAAAAACATGCTATTTTAAACGGAGGCTATGCTTCTTTCCATAAACGATTTCAATGGAAGTTAGAGCGTTGCGAAAGACGAAAAAGTTAAAAGTCGTTTTTTCTAACCTCTGAATTATGTTATATATGTATCAAAATGCTCGACCTGAAAATTTGATCTCGAAACTATGCTCTTTATTTGTGGAATGCTTTCCTGAAATCAAATAGCGCTCGCGAAGCAAAATATAAGCATCGACAGAGATCAACCCGGCATCTCTGGCGCATCACTCGACACCGCTAACAACTAAACCATTCGATACCTTTAAGTACTATCGACAATACTCGTACACTTTTGCACACCTATAAGGTGCGAGGAGAACGGTTTCTTGACGAATTGTCCCGCAATCAACGAGTATAGTCTTGAGATCAGCGTCTCAAAAAAATGTCATGGCATGTCACATATCGAAAGACCACGACCACCAAGTATCCTTTGGCCTAATGCCGCGGACGAGGTAAAGGTCAAAAACCGATAAACAACTCGGTATCATAAGTAAAAATGAAACGTCAAATTACATCTTTATCATAAGCGGAGCGATCTACTGTAGCAAACTCACTCTAGTGATGTGCATCAATGCAATGTTCTCTGCATACGTAGTAACTCCAGTTCCAAGTCCCAGTGATCCAGCAATCAAGCTACCGATCCCTGCATCAGTATCTCATGGATTGTGGAAACCCATCGTAGCCTACCTTCACACATAATCGCCCGATTTACTGAGGCTGTAGGAGGAGTTCTTTGATGAGAGACCTGACATGTTATGGATGATGGTAAGAAATCTCTATTTGTGGATTTGGATTTACCCTAGCACATGCTTGATAATCGCCGATATTTTCCACCATACATGCAATGCATGAGGAAATGAAACCAAATGTGATGCCAAGTGACACCTGCGGCAGACCGAACTGTCCTGAAAAGTACATCACGATAATTGATTGACCCGAAGATTGAAAGTATCGCACAAATTGCAATCATTTGAACCAGTTATACAACAATGTTCAGGACCAGATTTGAAATCTTAATGAAATACTCGGATAAAAAAATTTATTGCTTTTCCACGGTTTTTAGGCTCGATCTGTCTTCTTAGAAACAAAGCATGTAGAAAAATTTTATGGTTGAAGTTTCCATAGTTTAAGTGCATACAAATGCTTATATGGAATAAAACTAGAACTGCTAGAAGTCGGGACATTCCTTTTCATTTTTTCGGGGTTTTTAATCGAGAAAAAAGGACAGCATTGAGTGCTTGTGTCTATCACATGCAGTAACAAGTGAGAAATTTACTTGGCATTCTAAACTGTTCGTAGATTTCGGCTTCAAAGTGAATCATGATCTGTGCGAATGTTTGGGCTGCAGCGGGTGAACACCTCGTAAAGCTTACTTTTCTCTATTGATTTCCATTCAATTTCTGCTGAACTGACTGTCGCCTAATAATCGAATCGGAAAAATTTCTCCACCTATCACATGCATTTGCAACGGAAAGTGGAGATCCACACCATTATACATATCAGCTTTCGTTTCTTGTTCAAATAAAAACAAATATCAGATCAAAATCCCCAATCCTCATGGAAGGTTACTATATATGCAAAGGCAACATTTTCTTTAATTTTGCCTCATCTCTCATAACTTGGCTGGCTGGCTCAGTGATGTGTTAATGAGAATTACAAAAAAATATTCTGAAGACCTGGATAGGGTACTCGGAACCAAGGCGACTCCGCGATGACTGCCAAGGTGTGGTTCTTGTCCGTCCTTGCCTCCCCATCCTCAGGTTCAGCTCGAGTGATAGTCAGCAAGAAGCAAATAAACCATGACGTTATAATCGCTATCAAGTACTAAAGTCACATTTTACTAACATAGCGAGTGACTTCGAAAGTTTCTTACGGGGAATTGTCCAAATAAGCGAGTTTTAGCCACCTGCCACGATCGTTTAGAAAACGAAAAGTAGGGAATTGGAAGACATACATTTTCAAGAAATATACCCATAGCAACGAGAATACAAAAAGTCCTAGGTTTCACATCATTCCATGCTCTTTATTTAGTTTATAAATACATACTCGATTGAAATCCAGTGAAGGTCCATTTTCTCGTGCAAGGTCGGTATAAGGCCTAGGCATAGCCACAGAAGGAGTGGCATAATTGTTATAGGTCCAACCATTTTGGCTATCTGTCCTACTAAGCCGGTTGCTCCCATGAACACAAAAGTGAGGACAGAGACAAGCAAACTGCCCTGAATCTAAATGCAGATTAGGATTAGGAATTATGGACCAGTATTCAATGGCGACCGTACTAGCAAGATCTTTTTTGTCCATTCACCCTCCGGAACAAAGGTAGATAAGCCCGTGGTGCACTGATTTTCTGGCATGTTTGCGAAAGCAAGAAGTGAGGGAAGAAATGTGGAAGATGGACCATGCAGTATGCATAGCCTGTAATTTTTGACGTTGTGTGAGACCTCAATGACTACATGCAAAGCTACACTATTCAAATGTGAACACCGAGCAAAAAAAGGAATTATTGGAGTATTTTTGTAATTGCAATTTACCAGTGATCTGTAAGGCTCTCGCCAGAGTGCCGAAGCCATGCCAGCGCTACTCCAGCGCCGAGCCAGCGTTTCGATCGACACACGTGTATTTCGTTCGGGACATCTACCTGCTGAGAACTAGGTCAGCTAGCCCCGCCCCAACGAAATACACGTGTATCGATCGAAACGCTGGCTCGGCGCTGGCGTAGCGCTGGCGTAGCGCTGGCATGGCTTCGGCACTCTGGCGGGTGCACTACATGCAAAGCTACACTATTCAAATGTGAACACCGAGCAAAAAAGGAATTATTGGAGTATTTTTGTAATTGCAATTTACCAGTGATCTGTAAGGCTCTCGCCAGAGTGCCGAAGCCATGCCAGCGCTACTCCAGCGCCGAGCCAGCGTTTCGATCGATACACGTGTATTTCGTTCGGGACATCTACCTGCTGAGAACTAGGTCAGCTAGCCCCGCCCCAACGAAATACACGCGTGTATCGATCGAAACGCTGGCTTGGCGCTGGCGTAGCGCTGGCGTAGCGCTGGCATGGCTTCGGCACTCTGGCGGGTGCCTAAAAGGACGATGCTTCATAAACAGACGCAAAGATTGTACTAGGGTTGGTTCGATAGTGTTGTTGCTACCTTAAATTAAGTGCTGTTACTCTTAAATTAGCTATATATCAATCTTCACGTAATTACGTATGGGTCACGCTGTGCACTCCCTTTACCTTTAATCGCATCGTTTTTACACGTACAGCTAATAATTAGAAAAACTTTCTTAGTCTAGCTGTATCTGAACACTGCCTATTCACTACCAACTCTTATTCTCGTTTGCTCAGGAAATTTTTTCTGAATTTGGATGGTTCTTCTAAGCGCACTGTAATATATAAAAGACACTGTATAGAATCAATTTTAGATAGGTTAGAACAATTTAGAAAAGTATGGAGCGTGAAGCCAAACTGAAAGTAATGTCATTTATCTATTTATTAGGGTGTCCCATAATTGTTTACCGTTTTTACCCTAAACATCAGCATTTCGAGAACTGGGGCGCCTACAAAGAATACAAGTACATGATCATACCTCTGTATGTATGACCTAAAGATCACATGCATGTGAAGAGCTCAGGACGAGCAGAGTTTAGGGGTCGAGTTTGCCATTTACCGTTCATTTTCTTCTATATTTTTAGCCATGCAGAAAATACGGAAATTGTACAATTGAATGTTCGATGTGAGCATATGTTAGCATAGATAGGGAATTTTCGGGATTTTTCGAGGCGGAGATACGATTTTTGGCAGTTTTTTCGTTTTTAACTGTCATCAAATTTTAGCTCAAAACTTGCGTGCAATTTAGGCAGACTCTTTGAAGCCATCTTGTAGAGCTTGCTTTGCCCTATCAAATAATTACTCAAGCCACATAATTACTCAATCGAAGGAAAGATACAAAAGCACGACGGTTGTAGTAAAAACGGTAAAAAATTATGGGATACCCATATATTTATAGATAAATATATTGGGTCGTTCCGAAAGTAATGTCGCACGCATGAACGCCACATTTCACGAAATCAATTTTTTCAAGAGATCTTAGATGCCCTCGATGCAGCATTTCATCCTCTTTCCAATGGTTGTGATTTCATTGCATAATATTCAATGAGCTCTCGAAAAATTACCAAAATCTGCGACTCATGCTTTATGTGCCATAGTCAAATTCGGCTACTTTTCTAAATTTTTGTACCTATTTTCCGAAGAAGCACAAGTGACAGATAGATAGATCGAACCCTATAGAACACTTTCCTTAGCTTGCTTCATAGAATTTCTGGAATCAATTTTCAAAGCCATCAAATTCCATATTTGGTCAACTCAAACCTCACAGAACAATAATCGGCTAGCAACTCGGGTGTCATTCGACGCAGTTTTTCTCTTCTTTCTACCAGTCGTTTTTTGTTTCCGATTCATCAAGTTTTCCGGGATAAAATCCATACAAGATTTCCGGAGCGTCCCAGGCTGTACCCGGAATTTTCGAAAGTTGCTGATCTGAAGTGGTGAATGCTCCTTTGGTTTGTGAAATCAGTGTCAAGCCATAATAATCTTTGTAAGTTTCAAAATGTAAAGATTTATTGGTGTTTGATGCATTTTTGTCTGAGACGAGCCCGCTAAAATTCGGTGGTTCCATCAAAAAAATCTATACAAAAATTGTGAAGAGCTGTGGAAAGTAAAAAAAGCTGTGTTGTTTCCCATAAAGGTTTGCTCTATCCATCCATTACCTGAACACCTTCCCAGTATTGTTATAAAAATTTGGAAAAATTGTGAAACTCGGCCTTCTTATAAAGCAGATTTTGATGATTTTTCGAGAGGTTATTGAAATTTGTGGAGTGATTATATAACCATTAAAATGAGAATGAAATGCTGCCAAATGCTACCAGAATCTCTTATACACCTTTGTTCCACGAGGTGTGGCTACGTTTGAAAAAAAAAAACGACATTACTTTCGGAACGACCTAATACAGAATATAAATAAATAGATAAATGAAATTTTAGACTACTATTTAAATTTCCTGACGAAACCCGTACTTCACTTCTGGAGTATGAATGTCGCTTTGATTTATGCACGCCAACAACGAATTTGAAAACAAGAGAATAATGTTTTCCGTAATTATAGAATAGAAAATTTCAACAAACAATTTCTCTCCGTTTACTGACGGATATATTGATATGGAATTCAAGATTGCTTAGCGTACCTCAATCCCAAAGTTGTTTGTATAAGAGTTGCAATTCCAGATGAGAAGAATGAAGCTGCTATGAGGTGGACTCTGAAAATCGATCATCTTCGTGCATGTATAGCGATTTACCTCTGTTTCTCTCCTTAGCATGATAGTTGATGATCCGGCGCATACAAGATTTGATTGAAGAAAAGGTACAACCAGTAGTCCGGAAACGCACAACATCATTTGCTGAATCAAGAAACTTGTGCTTTATTTGAACGATATCTAAGTGTTCTTAACCCTTCTCAAAAACCTTTACTCTTCATTGTCAGCCTGCCTCAAAATTTCATGAAAGCTTCCGTTTCATTACATCAAAGGAAAGACAAAATGACAAATCGAAAAACTTGTAAAGTCTGGCTTCACAAATTTGTGTGATATAATTACGGGATCGGTGGATATTAGGTAATTGATGTTATTTTGCTCACAGACGACCCACTTTTCCCTTTTTGTCTTTTTTTTTGAAACTGCAACTCTAGCGCATTATTTGGTATTGATTTCAGTACCAAAATGAGTAACGCACTGCAATATTTGCAAATTAGTGGAGACATCGTAAATCACAATGCCGCAATTCTGAGCGCAAACATATTCTCTAAAATCAATGAAGAAGCATGTCAGATGGGAAGACATATTTGGCATGATATAATTACGCTTATCAAAATAGAGAGGTCCGCTTATTACCTGGAAACCGAACAAAAACAAGTTGCCTATGTCTGGCACATGATTGACTGTGAAATGTAACGGATGCTCCACACGAGCATCTTCCTCCTTCAACGACGCGGTTGTAGACTTTCTGAATTGGAACAGCCAATTTCGAGATAAACATAGAGATGACTTGCTATAAACCTATGAATAGATTACGTACTTCATGCAGTTGTTGAGATTTTTGTGACTCGCGTTTACGAATTCTGGCGGAATTTGTTGAGTGACCGAAATATGCTTGTTAAAAGTAAGAGTGAGAGATGATAGGTGACTACATTATTATAAATGTGAGTACTACATCAGCATCTTAACGTAAAACTAGGTTAGGAGAAAAGGTTGGTGCTATGAGAATGGTGAGCACTAGCACTGAATGTAGGTGTTTGAAATGAAATTTGAATTGTAAATTTCGAGAAGTTTTTTAGATTAGGTGTTGACACTAATCCTACTCCAAAGAGATTGGGTTGTTTTTTCTTCACATGCATCATACATCAAGTCCATGATTTGAGTATGGTCGTGCGTAAATTTGAGATTCAGAGATAACTTAGAGCTTTACCTTAGAAACTGATCGAAGATCTCACCGTGGAGTACAATGCTTAGGCTCAAAACTTGCGTTAAACCTTCAAAGCTTTTTGTCCCCCTCCTCCCCTCTCCACCTCAATCTTCAGATAAATTAGAAATAATCAAGCTTCATCGCTGTACAGAATAGTAGATTTTAGGAAATCACAACCATGACGAAGACCAAAAGTGATGCAACGAAGTCGGTTGTTGCGAAACTATCCGTTTTGAGACCACAAGTTAACTTAACTTTTTTCAGAAATCTTTACTAGCGTAATAACTGTACTGTATTATCTAATGTATTATCAATCAACTTCGTGGCACCTTGACTTCAGAATTTTTGCAAAAAAGAAAGGGTTTTTCTATACCTTGTTCTCTTGAATGAAAAATTGTTCATTTGAATAAAACTATACAATAAAAATAGATTCGCGTTTGAAATTTGAAACTCGGAATATTTATCGAATAAAATTCAAAAGCTCAAATAATCAAAAAACAGATTTTGAAATAAATCCAACAACTAGAATTATTGAAAATTGAGATTTCAAACGAATATTGTTGAAATGTTTTACTTGTCTTTCATTCGAGTTCGTGGACGAGATTCGTGTTTAAATTACTCAAGTTCGGTGCAGATCCACATCGCCCAAGTTGGCTATGCCAGCAACTTTTGGATATGGTTCTTTAAACATTCGACTAAATCATGCGAATGATATATCCGAACCAGGGCCCGGCAGGAGGTGGCATTTCAGAATTTTGAAAACGATATTCCCTTTGAAGCCAAAATTTCTTACGAATTCCCCTTTGACCCTATTTTTGGCCCCCGTAAGTCCCTGACAAACAAATATACACAAATAATAAGATGGGCGGCCTCAGCGCTTATTATAGTAGTACTAATTACCTGGCTTTCCTGGTCCGGCCCGGGTCATCGTTTGAGAGGATGGCCAAAAATTACACTTACTAACGACTTATTAATAACGACCCAAAAGAGCGAAAGTACGGAAAAATTGACCATATTGCGAAAACTGAAAAAATACGATTACAAAAACAACTTTTTTGCATAAAACATTACGATCAAATATGATCGCTGAGCCTTCTGAGCCCTTGTAGGGCTTATCGAAGAAGCAATCGGTTGAAGACTGAGAAGATTGCTTCAATCAGCGATCAGTAATCTAGCAAAAAGCCAATTTCTCAAAGTTTCCGCGTCGTCTGTGCAAGGTGCACAGATTGCGATTGGAGCGCGCTTTCCGAGGCCGACCATAACGCTGTGAACCCTATTTGGGGCTGTATCGAAGCGGTGCCTTGGTGGTTTTGGAAGCGGATTTGAACATGTAGTAATACTCTCGACCTAAGCCACATTTATGTAAAGAAATCCGGGAAATTATGTGAAGGAAAGCAGGGAGCCACCCCAGGTGGCTCCCAGGTGGCGCGGGAGCCACCTAATTTCGAAAAACACTTACCATTTTTTAAATTCACATAAGTTTCTCATAATTTTTCGTACTTTGTTACTTAGTCCTACTGCGCATATACACACCAAATCCCGCGCAATTTCGTCACCTCTGCATTTCAAACGAGCCATTTTTCCATTTTCTTGATAGTGGGAAATTTTCAGAAAAAACCTTGCTACAACCTTCAGTCACATAATTTTTCAATGAAACTCCTAACTAATCTCTTACAAACTTGTGTCCACGTATGTACCAAGTCTCGTAGCATACCGTCATCTGCGCGTTGCAAACGAGCCAATTGAATGCGCATCTTCATTTACCAATTTTACAAAATTTTCGGAAAAAATGCTTATTACTCGTTCCGTTCACATAAGTTTTTCATGATTTTTCATACTTTGTTTCCATTAGCCTCTCTCCGTTCGCTTACAAAATTTGGTGCCATATCGTTACGCATACATTGAGAACTCGTCATTTATGCGTTACAAACAGCATTGTTTGAGCGACGTCGCGCGTGCGGCAGTTAGCGACGGCGCGGTTTTACACGCGCGAACTCCAGTGTTCGCCTGTTGAGGGACATAACATGTTAAGATAAGCAGCGAGCATGAACTACCAATTTTTTTCCGGGGCTCCGCCCCGGACCCCAAAAAACGACTTCCCCTTTGCTTTTTCGGGCCAAAAACGATATCCAGCTTGTGAAAGCGCCACCCCCGCCGGGCCCTGATCCGAACGCATAATCAACTCATCCGAATGTCTTGCCATTCAAATGAGTCATTCGAATATTCATTCGAAATTCGACCCTCAATGTTCGAACGTAATCGATATTCGTTCACCCGCATTTTTTGATTTTCGACTTCCATTCGGTAATGTTTTGAAATTTTCAAATTTCGAATTAGTTGATACTAGCTGGTTTTCCCGGTCTAGCCTGGTTCACGGCTTCAGCTGATCCTGCTCCAGTCTCCCCCCCCCCTCCCCCCCCCCCCGCCTTCCCTTCCCACCTAGCCATTATGCTGCGCTGCAAGGATTTCTGTATCGAAGTAACTCATCCGCTGTAGGCTCGTCTGAATCACCGCATCCTTCCTACCGCGCAAGTCGAATGAACTTACTGCTATTGTTTACACGAAATCATGGAAGGGACTTGTTAGCTGATGCTGAGAACCCACTCTCATGCCAAAAATCAATAAATCAATAGAATGGCTCAGCGAATCGCCGCAAAAAGTTGCATTAAACCACCTCCGGGGTCGAATACATATGCGTGCAAAGTTCCAGCTCAATCGGTTCATTGACGGGCGTTTCCATAATGAACGAACCAAACGAACACATTTACAAAGTTTGAGTTTTATATATATTCTTTTATTGGATACTCCAGCTTTCAAATATTATTCGATTTATCCGAAATATCCAATCGAATTTATTCGATACAGCTGGCAAACCCGGTCCCCCCTCCCCCCTCCCGCTTCGCGAACAACATGCTCAACTACATCACTCATTATACCAATTCTCAGCCTCATGGGTGAAACTTAGCAAAAAATCAATAAAATTGTTATCGATCGATGACCAATAGTAGCCTACAACACCTGCCTCTTCCGAAGTGTATGTGTGCAATGTTCGGTTTTTTATTCGCAACATACACACAGGGACATTCAGACATACAGACAAATAAACAGGCATTCAGCTTTATTAGATTTATTCATTTTTGATGGAAAATTTCAAATTTGACAAAGTGTAGTTTTCGATCTGTTCTCTTTGAGAATCCCTACATAAAATATCTAACTCAATTTTAAATCAAGTAAGATAGCACAAATTTTTTTGTTATGTAGCTACTGATTGTCTGAGCAGTACACTAAATTCGATTAACAGAATTCTCTTCAAAAAAAATGTTTCATCTTCTAATGTGGCAAAGAAATGCATTCTTGAGACTTCATAATTTAATTCTGCAACCAAAACCGTGAATTTTTTTCTTTTTCACAATGACTGTCCTAAACCCACTCTCCCAGTATAGAACGAAACTATGCAATTGCGGCGTGGTTATAATTCATATGCGATTTATAAGAATTACAACAACGATTATGCTCATCCTGAGATTTTCTCTCCTGGTTTGAAACTCGAATGATATAAGCAACTTTAATAAAGATTGTTTTTCCAAAAATAATAAATTGGCAGCCCAAATAAAGGAATGAACAAATCACCTCTCAATTTTCTCCGTTGCTTGTTTGATGCATGATTCGATCAGATCGCAAGCCTGTGATGCTATGTGATCTGGTTCGCATTGAATGGTGTGATTTGGGGAAAAGTATGCGCAATCTGAAAAGAGCCATAGTTATGTTGCGTGGAAGAGCAAAACCTGGAACAGTGAGGTTGCACAATGGAACAAATTCTTAAACTTTAGTGAAGACTTTATGCCAAGATGGGCAGACGAGCGAAGCAGCAGTATAATCTGAAAAGAGAGGAAGGAGCTGTTGAAGAACAAGGAATTGTTGAAAGTAGCATGTAAACCTGAGGAGAAAAGTGTGCAAGGTAATTATTGCGGTATAGCGAGTAGTGGAAAGAACGCACAAGATTGCGGCATAACGAAAATATTTTAGGTGGTTCAAAAAACAATTCAGTGAAAAAATAGGAACAACTTATGATAGGTGAAGCTTGTAGCAGCAAAATAGGAGACAAAAGAGGAGACGAGAGAGAGTGTGTGAGAGAGGGTGAGGGTGAGAGAGAGAGAGAAGAGAGATGGAGAGGAAAGAGAGGGAGAGAGAGGCGAACAAGAAGGACAATACTGTGGCTGCAGAATATTGCGTTCACCGAAATGGTGCGTTCCGGAAAAATGGTGTCCATAGAAAAATAATTCTCAAGTTTAAAATGCACTATTTAAACACGCGAGTGACTATGATGTATTGAAATCGTCACAGAATAGGCCACATTTTTCAATTAAATTGTGCTGGGTTTTTTCTTTGACATCTAGTACCATAATTAATATGAGATTAATGCACGCATAGAATTTAGCTATCCAGAAAAATTCTATGGACAAGTTATTGTTAAATAAACAACTCCATGTCCCCATCTAAAAAATTGGAAGCTTCATACTTGTCTATTCTCACTCAGTTTCACTTGCGATGCGCGATAGTTTTTTAACCTTGGGAAAAGATAATACGCAATCCACCTTCTCACTCAGAATTGCCTAATTTTTTTGGGAAAGATGTGAAGGTCTGAACGGCGACAACAAGAGGAAACAATTATGATGTATTAAAGTAAATGAGTGTTTACGCTTTGAAACATAAGATTTCGCATTTCACGTGTACACTCTTAGGCGGGTTCAAAATCAAGAATTATGGAAATTTATATATATGGAAATTATGGAAATTATTATTAAAATTATAATTTATGGAAACCTCACACATTGGGAAGAAAAATACTCAATAGAAAGAGGAGGAAAGGCTGCATCGAATGACACCTTGGTTGTGCGCTGTTTTATGTTCTATGCTTCATGGCATCACCAAAAATGGAATTTGATAGCATCAGAAAAATAATTCTGAAGAATTTTTAAGGTTATAGACGCCGAAAAATTGCATTAAATTGCGCTTTGTTTACTCTATCTGACTTCCATTAAAGCTTCTCCAAAAGTCAAAAAAGAAGATTGTGAAAATTGCCAAAGTCGGTAAAAACCATGGATTCGAAATTTCGGCCGTTATCTAAGTGACCACAAGAGCAAGCGGCACAGGAATATGACATTTGAAAAGAGGAAAAAAAGCTGCGTCGGATAGTGCCTAATACTTTTTCCTACCTTCTTTCTACTTATTTTTAGGATAGGTTGAAAAAACGGAAAGAACTTTTGGAACGACCTAATATACAAGGTGTCCCAAAAGTATGTATGCACTGTTTGATCGTTAATATCTCTTTTCCCAAGTTATCTTTTGCCCACCTTCAGGTACCACTCTGTAGAGCTGGCTTCAACTTAGATTTAGAATCTCCACACTACTTTATGATCACGGTAGGAACTTTCAGCTTATAGCGTCATTATTGATTTACCGTGTTTCAAAAAAGCTTCCAAAAAAACTGGAAAGTGGTGTACTAGGGTTTTCAAGCTCGCTAATTTTATTATTCAACTTTTCGCGAGTTTGCAAAGCTCTCAAAATGGTGTAATCACTATTTTATGGTGTCTTGTAAAAACAGCTATCGCTGTCTACCTGGCATAACTTACGAAGGATGCATTGCGGTGAAGTGCAAACATCATATTTAGTTTTGGAGGCTCGAGCTGACCTAGTATAAAGTTTTCTGTTTGTTCGGTTTGCTTTCTAAGGCGAAATAGGGCCTGATGGCTAATAATACTACAGTAATGACGAGAGATGGGTGATTCGTTCTATACTGCAAATCAGCTGAAGCCAGCTCTACAGAATGGCGCTTAAAGATAGGCAAAAGACTTCTTGGAAAGAGAGATATCAACGGTCAAACAGTGTATACATACTTTCGGGACACGCTGTATACAGAAAAAGCCTCAATAAGAGACAGATGGCTTGAATATTTTGGAAAAACATGGAATAATCAAAGAGGAAATTATTTTCAAAAAAATAATGTTGTTGCATACATTCACCTATTGTGCTTTCCAAACAGTCATTGTCCACCAGAGTTGTAAATTCCTCGCTAACGCTGTCCGTAGCCATGCCCGAAGAAAGAATAGAAAGAAGAAATAGTGTAAGGGAGAACGCAAAGTTTTTTGTTTTGCCAGTTTTTTGCCACAGAAGATAAGGGTATAAGCAATCGATGGTCGGTGTAGCAGATGCACGTGCTATACTTTCTTACAAAAAATGCAAATTCATATTCAATTATTTTTGCAGAAATGACCGTTGAGCATGATAGACATATTCCGAATGGGGGATGAACCAAATTTCGATGATAGTGTGCAATATTTTGAGTGCGGCAATGTTGACCTTGATAAAAGCACTGACTTGGTAAACGGCTTTCCCCGCAAGTTACTCTGATGGGCTCGCACGCATGCAATTGCCTTTTCACTATAAAGTAGTGTGCGTTCGGCGCATGCCCGCAGAGGGTATTGAAGTCGTTGAATCCTTTATCCTTTAAATGTGGTCCTCCAAGTGTTTAATGCAAGCGGACATTAATACGAAATTTGGCTGTATATATGATGTGCATGAGTCACCTGCAGTCACCTGCACTACTGTGGGAGGAGGACACATATAGGTTTTTTTTCGTATTTGGTTTGCTTTTCAATTTGTTCTATCTCAGTTCTCAGACTTTGTGTCTGCCTCTTTTTCTGACACAGTGTTTAGCTGCGAACAACTGTTAAACATATCATTAGAGAGATTGTGTGTTTGCAACAACTGTTGCCTAAAGAGTCTGCGCTAGGTACCAGATGGAACACAGCGTTAGAAGTATACTGTCATTTAGCTGAGGTATAAGTGTATAAGTGTATAAGTGTTGTGCTAACACGCTAATTCTGCAATTTACATGAAGGATGAGTTCGGAGGCAACTATATGATTTAAGCATGCTTTCGGTACTTGGTATTTGAGTCCTTCTTGATGTATAAACGAAAACAATGAGTGAAAAATGTATAAGAAAGACTAGAAAATACTAATCTTATTGAGTCAACAAGAAAATGTATCTCCCTACCTGAAGTTTTTTTGAAATTGTAATGTGCACTTAAAATCTGCTTCCTTTTTTTTATTTCTGCAAATTTCATTGTTGACTTGGAAATGCCTCTTAATTGCGCCCTATCCTCCAGCACTCCACCATCAGGATTATGACGAAACAATCACATGCAAGACCGTAAAAGGTCTCTTGTTATTCGTTTTCTTAGTTTGTTGTTCAAGAATCTCAGTTTCAAATCAAGGTGTTTGCAGATTTTTACATCTGGGCATTAGCCAATGGCGAACCCTTCTGAACAATGAATGGTCGTAAAGTGGCCTCCGGAAACGGGAGTGTGAGTGAAGCATATGTTCAGTCTATCAACAATCAGGCTGTTCTCGTTTTTCACCTTCTTACTCTTCACGTTTCTTTTCGTTGGAAAAGCCACATGTTTTCGTTGGAAATTCACCATTTTTTGTGGTTGAGCTTGCACTGGAAGTGAGAACGCAGAATCTGTCGAACTTGATGCAACTGCACGATTCTACGAAGAAGCTGCCAAAAGTGTGGAAAGGACGCATTGGCTCACGTTTAGTAAGAAACAGGTGTTTGTTTTGAATGACTTGTTCTTTGTTTCTTATTTTTGAAGTTCAGGTACATAATCTCATACTGGAGCAGACTTGTTTATTTGCTTACCTTAAATATATATTGAAGGCAGTGACTCGGCAAATCTCAACTTCGAGAAATTCCCCTTTACTTGAGGTTATTTGGGCGCTGATGTCGAAAATCCAACTTAAAGAGCCTGGAAATGACGAAAATGGGCTTTTTCCAAAGCCTTTTTTAATGTGGACGAGCGGTATGGTGTCCGTCAACGTCTCGGTGCTGGACCATCTCGCCTATAACATTGTGGCATGCCGCCTATGACGGTGGGAGGGAAATCATGAGCACGCCCGAGCGCGTGTAAGGAAGGCTTGCGCGCACGGATTTCAGGGCAATTTTTTTGACAGGGAGGGCAAACTGTGCGACCGGGATTGTTTTCATAGATGGGAGGTAAGCAACCAACCGCACAAAATTCCTGACGGTTCAGTTTTGCCGATCCACTGCCTTTCAGTTTTGCCGATCCACTGCCTTCAATGGACGATGTCGCTAAGTATGAGGTCTCTGCCTTTTCCAGGTCTACCTGAGAATGAAAGCTGCTGAGCTTGAATGGAGGTCTGTTCATGATCATTTCTTGCATTTTTTTGTTATTTGTATTTTACAGCTGTGCAGTAAATGGGTCTTGTTGTTCAATATTTACCATAGGCAGAAGAAAAGTCAGGTGTAGCTTTTGTTGGCTCTAAAGGTGGTTGTTAATTGTCGGTATTATTGTCTTCCTACAGAAAAGTTAATCCAATGTTACGCTTAGCTCACCTACCTCAAGGAGGCTTATAGAATGAATGCTTTCTCAAATCAACCGGATGAGGTGCGTTATCTAACACCAGTGCGTCACCTCGGCTTCGCGGAGGTTCGCACTGGCTCTCCTATCCGTATGCCTTTCTCATGTCCGCATGATGTAACTTTGAAACTCACCACGCGATGCTGAACATCAGAAATGAATCGTAAACAACTGTTCATTTTTGAAGCATTTCCACGTAAGATATCGGTAATTTTGAGAAGAAAAAGATATCGAAGATATAAGATATGCGAATTTGAATAGATTACTGAGTTTGTTTTGGCTTGGTAGTCGACTTAAAGATAATAGTCACTTTGAGCTACATTTCCGTGCAAAAATCTTTCAAAATTACAATGTAAGACCTTGCCAAATCGACTATCAACGCATGCACCTCTTTTTGGCGCTTTTTTCGCAGAAAAAAGTGGGCTTTTTGCTCCTTTCTAGGCTAAAGCTTATGACATACACGTAGTCATATCATACATATCCATAACTTCGCAAAAAATTTGCAAACGCTCCAGTTTTGCGAGCCCAAATGAGTGTGGACCCGTTTGACGCGCGGTTTTTTGAAGGTTCCAGTTATCGGATCAGCGTGTGCTTTTGCACTGTTTACCTACATAATGATGGGGTGCTATGACCAAAATTTCAGCTCAAGACCTTGCCTACAACACGCTCTATGAATTTCGTGACAGACAGACATAAACATGTACACAGACAGACAGACACGCGCTTTATTATAAGTGGCCAGTGCGTCACCTCCGCTTCGCGGAGGTTCGACTGGCTCTCCTATCCGTTTGCCTTTCTCATGTTCGCATAATGATGACTTTGAAACCTATCACGCGATGCTGAACATCACAAATGAATTGTAAACAACTGCTCATTCTTGAAGAATCTCCACGTAAGATCGCTAATTTTGAGAAAAAAAAACTTGTTGCAGAGGAACACTTGCGAATTTGAATAGATTACTGAATTTATTTTGGCTTGGCAGTCGTCATAAGATAATAGTCACTTTGAGCTAAATTTCCGTGCAAAAATCTTTTCATATCTCAAGTTAAAACCTTGCCAAATCGACTATCTAAGCGATGACCACTTCTTGGCGCTGTTTTCGCAAGAAAGCAAACTTTTTGAGCATTTTTTGGGCTAGAGTTCATGAGGCGCAGACGTACTTGTCAGGCAAATCATGACTTAGCAAAAAGTCGAATTAATGACCTAGTTTTGCGAGCCCAAATGAGGGTGGACCCGTTTGACGCGCGGTTTTCTGAAGGTTCCAGTTATCGGATCAGCTTGTGCTTTTGCTCTGTTTACCTACATGATGATAGGATACTATGACCAAAATTTCCGCTCAAGACCTTGTCTACAACACGCTCTATGAATTTCGTGACAGACAGACATAAACACACACACAGACAGACACGCGCTTTATTATAAGTCATGATAGTTAATCTTTGTAATCATGTCTTGATTTATCCGTTAGCTTACAACTGAGTAATTTATTCTAGTCGTGTTGAGTACCGGAGATACCGTTGAGATGAGGTCCATATCTAGCATGGCTCTCCCTTATTTTTCGATTTAGCAACATCTATATTTAGGTACATACGCTATGTTCTATCAACATGAATGCTCACGGTGAGTTACTATCCAGGCTATACAAGATAAGATAAGATCTCTCTTATATGTAGTACATAATATGTTGGATCAAGAATATCAACGAGATAACTTGTAATGTAGCCAGATTTCTTCTTCCATAACGACGCGGGACGTATGATTCTTCTAAATCGTATTCAGATGCCTTAGATGATGAAGTGTACATACAAGATGATTGTTCGTCTTCCTCTCTGTCTAAAATCTCGTTTCTCCTTAGCCGCACTTTCTCCTCGTCTCGTCTTACAAAACCACCCAAGGGTTGATGTTGCGGGCACTTTCTCCAGCCAAGAGTTAGTTCTTTCTTTTACCTATAATTTTGCTTTTTCATCATAAATCCGGTTCAATAATCCAAAGTTTCATTGAATTGGATTTTCTCTCAACCGTATTACCGGAATTTTGTCTGTGGTCTTCGATACTTACTCAGATAGGCTTAAGCTGTCCCCAGCATGACTCAATGGGACTAGAAAAAGATGGAAGGGTGGTAATTTTATCAGGTTAACGCGAAGCTCTCCGCAAATCTGCACATATGCGGAGAGCTGGAAGTCTACCCCTAGATCTCAACAGTTGTCGAGGTGAAAGAAAAGTTTATGTACTTATCATGTGAATTCCAAGTGTCTATCACCTCATGAAGTAGATCTGCCTTCCTGCAGTCATGCCGAAAGGGCAGTCCTTTTCCTTTCAATTACGCTCTTATTTTCTAGTTGACGACCGAATGGGAACCTTCTCCAGCTGTCTTCTGTAATAAGGGGCATTATCCATTATCTCACAAGCACTCCTATCTCAGTCCATCGAATCAGGTGGGCAGGGATTCCTTCAGCCTTGTTTTGAAGAGAGTGTGATCCATATTTTTATGGTAGTCCCCGTCCATGTTCCTTCCACAGGCCACCACTCTCGTACACTCAGGAATGCGATCCTCTGCAATGGCAGTGATGACAATTCCTATTCTTCCCTTATTTTTACTGGCTTTCTTCCATACAAATATCCGGCGAAGTTGGAACGTCGACCGAATCTCGGTA